GGATGGTCGAGAGGTCCACATCTGCAGCGCTCTTCGCAAAGGTGCTGCATGTGTACAGATGGAAACACGTCCAGGGACGAGTTAATGACAATTCACAAGGCGGCAATACACTAAGAAAGCCACAGGCGTACCTTCGTGTAGAAGTGTTTGATTTTCTAGTACTCTGTGGACAAACTTTCGAGGCGACCAGAGCAGCATGAAGTGGTGTCAAGCCAATGTCCCCAAGCAACTGCTTTGCGTCAATGTCACTAGATTGGCGCAATAGGTTGACAAGGTCGTCCATATGGCACCTTTCCTTGGACAAGGCATCCTCCAATTGGCGCGCGGTAAACTGACTTAGATTGTTTGCCCTGGCAAACTTATGTACTCCAAACTCATCCACTGGACGATGCTGGCTGTATTTTTTGCGTGGGCGATCTTGTCGCCGACGGGCGATGTTGTCCAGGGTGTTCCGGTCAAACTCGTAGGCGCCGACCTCATTGCCGTTGTCCATGGACATTGTGTTGGAAGGATACGTTAAGCTTTAGACGCAATGAAGAAATGAAGAAGCGCTCTTTCATAGTATGAAAATTGCAGAATCTTCATGCAACTTTTGAACGACCAGGGTGAGGTTTTGATTTTGTAAGAAGCTATAGAATTCCTTTATTTTTTCAAGGTAAATGAATGCTTATGTATTTGTCCGTTAGTAGCGTAAAGCTTTGAACACTCTTTGTACGGCAGATTCGCCACAATGTTTTGCCTGATTGCGATGTTGCCTGAAAATTTTGAACTTTTTGATTTCAAATTGCTTGAGACCTTCTATAAAATGGTGCCTCAAAACTGTTTACTGTTTGTAAGCCCAGTGGACACAAATGTCTGTCCATGTAGCCAGGACGACCCGAAGGGACCCTAAATCAGAAGACAGAGACTCGTTATCTCTTCTTGATTACCATGAGGAGTCACTGTCACTTGGGAATCTACTCGCTGCTCCCCCACTTGTGGACTTCGAGGTTTCAAATGGACCGGCGGCCCCTCGTGTGATACCGGCGCATCAATACAACCTCCGCTCGTGTAGCACGAGATCAAACAACAGTGCTTCAGTGGGAAACCCTTTCAACGCGAGTCCCACTCCGGCTGATGACCATGTAGCTACCTCGACAGAGCAGGCACACCCTGGGCCGGAGCGTGCCATGTTATTAGCTGTTGAATGCATAATCCAGCAGGCAAAGATATTAATCTCAAGCAGTTCATGGTTGCACTGCATTGCAGCTGCAATGTATGCCACACATGCTTACATTAATTGTATGTTGTGAGGCAGCTGCAGATGACAACATGGTCATTCTTGCAAAGAAACATCAAGCCTAATTAACTTACAAGACTGCCAAAGACCACACCGCCAGCTAAGAGCACAGGACTGTCCTTGCCCTCGACAATGAAGACGAACTTGTCATCTTCATTGTTTAGAGGCCCTAAGCTCTTCTGCAAGTATTCCAGGTGCGACTGTGAAGACTGGTACTTCTCAAACTCCTCTTTGTCAGCTCCAAAGGAGTTGAATCTCAAAGCATCTGCTGGCAAGGCATGCACATATGTCATGGTTAGTAAGGTCTTCAGCTGCAGGTATGATGTATGCAGGCATGTATCTTTCATGGTATGCATATTTGAGGTTTCAATACAAGCAAGTTGAAAACCCAATAACCCCTAACTATAACTAAGTCTCTCCTCTTATCTCTGCATTTACACATAAGGGCTAGAATGAATTTGCAGCATACACAGTAGCAGGACATTGAATCCCCCAAAAAACAATTGTAATACTTTTTTCAAAGTACTCCTAGTACTCACCCTCCACATTGGCCTGCTGCTGTAGATTTCCAATCCACTTCTTGCGGTTGTTCCATCTCTCAACCAGGGACTTCCGGACATGTGCGTGTATGTCCTGGTCGGTTGCTTCTGAGTCCAAGTGGAAGCCAGCCACGGTTCTGTCTCACCCACCCAGCGTAACCATGAAGTCCTCAATCTCCTTTTCAGTCTGTAGTCAAGCATGAGCACCCATGAGTATTGAGTGACAGTCTTTCAAAGATGAATAATTCAACCCTGCCCCAAACTTACCACTTCCAAGTAGATCTTGGATGCTGAGTTGAAGTCGTCCCCATCTCCTTCTTGGCTATCCCAGCTGTTCTTCCTCTTCTGGGGGTTTGGGTTGGCAACCGCCTTAAAGGCTGCCTCAAGCCCATTGATTTGGTGGCACCACATGTACCATCTTGGGCTTGAATCTCTCCTTGAACTGTAGATTCATTAAGCCGTGCAGTACTGCACAGTACAACACTAGTGTTGTACCTCTCAGTAAGGAGAATTTAACATATAAAACGCAGCAGATACACAAAACATCCTCAACAAGTGACTGGAATGGTTGTGTTTTTGTATTGTAACAACATCACGTTTAGTCTATATTTTCACAGTAAAGCAACAGGTTTCTATGCTTACCATTTTGAGGCTCACCCTGTTGACCTGCTGCTGGTCAAGAAGGTCTCTCTCCCTGAAGCCCATTTCGTAGAGGGTGCTGAACATGTCCATGGTAGCCTTGGCTGATCCTGGACTGTTAAAAGCCGGCTTGAAATCCGACTTCCATTTGTCATATGCTGTGTAGAACAGCTGGAACGGCCTACAGCCGATTTCAAAGCCTATTTTTGCAGCCATATCCTGAATCTCCACTGGAATGCCTTGAAGGCCAGGAAGGTCACCTGGACTAGGTTCAGGAACGTTCTGAATAGCCTCCTTCGATAATGCGAAAGGAATGGGTAGCAAAGAAAGAGGGATTCATGCTTGACAAGTAAAGCAAGCAAGTTCATCAGGATAATCGGCGGTGCAAAAGGTCACAGCTTTACCGTGCGCTCATGTGCTGTTTCGAATTCACAGTATTCCTCGGACTCTTCAGTGGTATCATATCCTGTAATGGCTGTGACCTCTGTCCTACTGTGCCGTGATGTAGGGCGGACAAGATCGACCGCCGGCTGCACTGCTTGGTCGATCCTTCTACGAAGTCGGCGGGATTTCAATCCAGTGCTTGTAATTTTGTGGGGCTGGGGACGTGAATGCAAAATAGGGGGGTCCTTGTGAAGCAGCTGCCCGCATTTCCAAAGCACGTATGGTGTTGGATTGTAAGGTGCCCAAGTACGTTTGCGAGGAAGAGAATGTGGCCAGGCTGGAGAGGAAAGTGCAGTGGCATATTGGAATGTGAGATTAGCGTAAGCGAGTTACAGGGCGTTTGGCGCACGGGCGAATTTACGTGCAAATCTTTCACCGTAGCATCAGCATCAGTTCACTTCTTGGAACGAACATCAGCATAGGTCCAAGCCCTCTCTCTTGGAGGGATATGCAAACAAACATCCTGTTCTAAGCCAACAGCGGCGTCCATGTCACCGACAAGGCTCTAAACGTCTTATCTGTTCTTATGTTTAATTAAGTTTATGTATGTTATACTTTGCGCAACATTGTAATTTGACTTTACTCTGAACAAGGTGTTGTATACGTTGCACTACCAAAAACGCGACCGTTTGCTTGCACACAACTGCCTCTTCGCCAGACGCTTCCTCTTCCCGCGGCAGTTTCACGAGCCCAGTCTTGCAAGCTACGACGTAGGCTTTCGGTGCTTTCAGTTACTGCAAAGCAGCCACGCAATAGTCCAGCCTGCATGCCGCGTGCGGCTGTGGCCAACATGCCCACCTGCGCAACGCGCTGGCGCACCTCGTCCTTTCTCCAAGAAAATTTATATACACTTACACACGCGCATTTTGCGAATCGAAAGCGCGCATCCGCGCGGCAAAATTCGCTCCTGGCTTTTTTGGACGATGTACGTCCCGTTTATTCGGCAGAGTACGACCGCTCACATTTGTGCGAGGGGCTGCTTAAAGACCAAGCTCTGCTAACTTAGCTTCGTTTCTGGCTATGCATGTAGCACGCTCTTCCTCAAGGTCCATCGATGATCGTAATGATATCGCAATGTTGCCTATATGAATGACGAATGTAAGCAGGATGTACTCATTAAGCAGCCCCTCGCACAAATGTGACCGGTCGTACTCTGCCGAATAAACGGGACGTACATCGTCCAAAAAAGCCAGGAGCGAATTTCACCGCGCGGATGCGCGCGTGCGAATCGCAAAACGCGCCTGCACAAGTGTATATAATTTACCTTGGCGAAAAGGCCGAGGTGCGCCAGCGCGTTGCGCAGGTGGGCACGATGGCCACAGTCGCACGCGGCATGCAGGCTGGACTATTGCGTGGCTGCTTTGCAGTAACTGAAAGCACCGAAAGCCTACGTCGTAGCTTGCAAGACTGGGCTCGTGAAGAGGCACTTTTGCAAAAGGAAGCATACAGGACCCTGTTCCGACTAATGTCAAAATACAAACTGACGCAATAAATATAACATACACAGAATTAAACAAAAGAACACATAAGTCGTTCGGACCCGTGTAAGTAACATGGACGCCGCTGATGGCATGGAACAGCTGTTTGCTGCGCATGCGGCCGTGCCTGCGTTAGACGTGTTGCAGCAGCTCCGGAAGGACGTCAGCCAGCAGCAGGCTCAAGCGCTGCTGAACATTCACCGGGAATGTCTTCAGTTGAGCATGTGTAGTTTTGGTAGTTTTGCGCACGGAAGCCGAAGTGCAGCGTCTATGCAACATTGCCAACATATCCGGTACGCGAGTGCTGGCTTCCGAGCACGAAAGACCGGGGGTCGCATCTCAAGAATCAACCAAGCATGCATTTGCCTCTGCAGATGAAGACACAGCGCACTTCTGGGCGACGGGTGTCGGTCAGCGTTTACATGGTAAGGTGAGAACCAAGGGGCGGCATAGTTGTGGTTATGGCCGTGGTATATGAAAGACCCGCTCATCTGGTACGTGCCCACATTAGTCCGCCTCTATTCATTGACGGGTGTCGGTTTACGTGGGAAGGCAAGAAACAAGGGGTGGCATAGGTCGGCTCATGGCCGTGGCAGTGGCGCACAACCTCTCGTCTGGTACGAGCATTAGTCGCGTGCTCGGGTGCATGCTTGGTAGCGTGCGTCTTCACCCATCATGTTGCCTGTTCTGGCATGTCCGTCCAAGTGTGACGACTTGTACCTATGCCTTATTCTTCGTTACTACAACTTAGCAGAGGACCGACGCGACGTGTACTGTAAACGCGCTGATGTTGTTGTTGTTCTTGTTCCAGTTGTTCTTGTATACGCGCGCGACGACAAGACTGCATGTACATTCCGCCGTGCGCCAAACGCCCTGTAACTCGCTTCGACTAAACTCACATTCCAATATGCCACTGCACTTTCCTCTCCAGCCTGGCCCCATTCTCTTCCTCGCAAACATACTTCAGCACCTTCCACATCAACATACGTGCTTTGGAAACGCGGGCAGCTGCTTCACAAGGGCCCCCATATTTCTGGACTGATGTATGAAGATGTGTACGGCGTGATTGCAAGCGACCTGTACCAATGAGGCAAACCGTTCATGGATTTCGAGGTGTAACTTATTACAGAAAAGGTTGTCGCATTTGCATGACTTAGGCATTTCGTGAATGTGGAAGGGTTCTGCAGGCCAAGACGACCCCGAGTGCCTATGCCCCGGAGTGGAAGTTGGCTAACGAATTACTGCGAGGCCAGGAACACCAATTGAGTTAATTATTGCTTGTCTTTATAGCTTAAATTCTGCGCAAAGCGCACATACTTTGGTAGATTGTAACTGCGACGGCCGGACAGAGGTTACGCATTTTCATAAAGCCAAACGAACGGGCTACAGAGACTTCATAGCTAAATCAAAGTTATTGCTTTAACTAGTATAGCAAACAGCTTCACGCGCGGGCACTCTGACGTCGACATGGCCGATGATGATGACAGGACTTCTCGCTTTGTACCCATCCAAAAGCACCGAAAAGCATAGGATTGTTCTGTAATATAGGGTAGGCAAGGCATTGCTTGTTTTTCATCTTGTTTTTGTTGTTAAGCAGCTCTCAAGCAAACGAAATGCAGGTACGACTGCCGAATAAAAATTCCGTACAACTCCAAAATGCGAACGCCACGGCCGGCCGCGCAAAGGTCAGGTCTCGAAAGCCGAGAATGCGGGCTTGACACGTATGTGCGTAAAATTCGCGGGCGAGCGAAATTCGATCGGGAGCTGAAGCGGCTTGAATATCATGCCCAAAATGTGAAGCCCATTGGCGAGCCGCGCAACAAAGGGTCTGACCTTTTCAAGAGCCAGGAGTGCTGGTGGGATAGATAAAGATTATGCGTGTGGAAAATCGCGGGCGGGCTTTGACGGACGCCAGATTGGCTGCTGTGAGAACCGGCTAGCGGGATGCCCCCGCTACTGCGAAACGCCACAGCGTGAAGCAGCGTGAAGTCGAGCGGGCGTGTCCGCAGATCATTTGGCATGCAGGAGTGCACAGAATCATTGAGCTGCTTTAATACTGGCTGCTTGGAGAAAATAAAACAATAATTCAACAATAAAACAATAATACAAACAATAATACAAACAATAATAGATAGGGACAGTCGGGGGAAAAATAGGGTTGCTTTAACTGATGAGCTGCTGAAATGTAGATACAATAATGACAAGATAAGGAACTTCGCTTGCATCGTTTGATGAGAGACATGGCGACAAGGCAACGAAAAACAGGCATGAAAAGTATGGACCTCACAAGCGCGGTACAGGCATGGGCAACGTACAACGCCATTCCGGCAACCATGGTGCTGGCGTTTGTGCGTCCGGAATGGAGTCCTGTAACGGCGCGGAGTTTCCTGAACAACAACAAAAGGTCATTACACCTGGGTACATGCAGCTTCGGCCGGCGAGGCAGGCCCTTGTTAGCAGTGCGGTGTACCGGAGACATGCAACAATTGCTGCACGTTGCCGCCGTCCCAGGTGTGATTCGCCACGTGCTCATGCACAAATGGGTAATTGCCTGCCTGGGTAGCAGATAGCAAATAGCAATGAAAACACATGTGACCTCGTGAAGCGGAGCGTTACATCACGCAGGGAACAAAACAGATGTGTTTTGGCGTTCAGAGCTAGGCCTGGCGATGAATCCCAGCGCAGATGCCCCCCAAAGCGGCGACACACCTACAGCGTACGAACCTTCCTGCTGCCATGCTAGTCCCGGCTCATGTGGGTGCGGTGGGTCCGCCGAGGCCGGGGTGCCAGTGGCAACGCCGTCAGCCATGGCAGTCCTGGCAGAGCCACATCAGCTTCCACAGCACCAAAATCCTATATTGCAGGCCCAGCCTTCAGGCACTGAGGCTATGGTACCGCGCCGTCGCCGCCGGCAGCAACACGAGCAGCACCCCACGGCGCCAGCATACTTTGGCCTGTCTTGGAGGGGACTGGGCAGAGTGGCCGGCATTGGCAGGCGCCTCAGGGCATGGCAGACAGTGACGTCCACTCTTATGATCGGTGCACTCGTGGTGTGTGCCGTGTGCGGGGTCTGCACGTTTCCGTCCCGAAATGAGAAGCAGACATGGGCTACCGTTACTGCCCCAGACAATGCTGCCGGTATCCCACCCTACTCCTTCCACAACTCCCTCCATGCCGGCAGCACCACAACCCCCGATGGCAAGTGGCACCTGTGTCCCTACTGTGCGGCCGCTTTTCACAGCAATAAAGGCAGCAACGAGCGCCTGCAGCATCTTGTGTTCCTTCCGCCCGACTACACCAAGGCGGTTGTGTCGTTGGACCCTGTAGATCACATGCGACTGGCGCTGGTGGATGTTGGCGTTGGCTTTTTCCAGGCCGCCTTTGGGTACTTGGCCGGCCGCCTTCGACAGCAGCACTGCATGGAAGCACTGATGCTTAACTGGACTCCGGATGCAGAGCGACGTGTCAACAGCCTACCCGCGGCGCTGCAAGAAGTGCTGGGCTGGAGTGTACACAACAATCCGCTCATTATGCAGTTCCTCACCGTCGCAGAGCAGGTTCCTCCCAACCACCCCCTCCCATACCTGGTCCCCGACAGTGTGCGCATGATTGCTGCCAATGCCCAAGCCAATCAGCCCTTGGCGCTGGCAACG